TACCACTGGATACAGAAGATGTCGTGGTCTTCTGTCAAGTTGTGTCATTGGAAGTCAGTGTCAGTGCATCAGTGTTGTCAGTGTTAACTGATATCAGTGTTTCGGTGCATCAGTGAACACCGATGTCATTGCGTCGGCGTATCAGTGAACACCGATGTCAGTGTTTCGGTGTATCAGTGAACACCGACGTCAGTGTTTCGGTGTATCAGTGAACACCGACGTCAGTGTTTCGGTGTATCAGTGAACACCGACGTCAGTGTTTCGGTGTATCAGTTATCGACACCGATCCACCCCTAGTCAAATCCTCTTAAATAAAAAAAGCATTGGTACTTGCTATATGACCTTCGAATGGAATGATTTAAACCTTTCCTGGTGCGTGAAGATCACCCTCTGATTTGTCCACCAACTAAATTGAATTTTTGACTGAAAACTGTGGCGGAGATTCCAACCTTTGATTCAGAAAAAAGCGTTCAGACTGCTCTTCCATTTTAGACAATAATTTACCCACCACTGTTGTCTTCAAAATCAAGTATATTAAATTTTGTATATTTCGATGGTAGTTTGATTATGCTGTTTTGTAGATGTTTCTTTTGAATTAGTATTCAAATCAGTGATGTTCAGTTGATCAGCAGCTAAAAACCAACGCAGAATAGATAGTTTTGTATAATCTAATACTTGCAGCGCAGAATACACCTTCTTCATCGCTATCTGTAATAAAACCAGGGGTCAAAGTCCGAGCACGTTTTGTTTTCGTCTCATTTTTTTTACGTTTATTATTTGTGTTTGTATGATTGACTGCTATTGATGAGTTACTAACAATAGTTGATGATGATGGTTGCTGAATATGTGAATTCAAATGAGCAAAATTTTGGTTTGAATTGACATTTGATGAAATGTTATCAGGAAATTGTTGAATACATTGTGAGCTCCACGAAACACTAAATCCTTGAGAATTTGAATGTAAGGCAAGACACAACTATGACTATATGGTGGAATTTGTACATTTGATGGTTTCATTGTTTAATAAGTATCTGTCGACATTGTGCTGAATGAGGATGTTGAAACATCATCTTGACATGTTGATAAAGTAGTAACATTCAACGAAACTCGTTTTTGTCTTTTTTCTACAGCCACTTTATCTTTCATTGCTTGATTATCAAATGGCCATATACCACTTGGTGCAAACGATGATACGACTTGTCTTTTTGTACAAACTTGTTCATATACGTGATTTATTAAACCAGGAAAATCCGGTTTTCTAATGGCGTTATAACCTTGTTTCTTATAACTGCTCATAATTTTATACCAATAAGACTTTACTACATCCAAAATAACAAGATCGAGAGGTTGTAAATTGTGTGTTGTGTGGGGAGGTAGTACTAACAAAATGATATTGTTTGCAATCGCTAATTCAATACAAGTTACATTAACGTGTGCGCCGAGTCCATCCAGTACCAGAAGAAGTGGTCGTGGTAAATGTTGTGTTTGTGCAATAAAACTATTTGTGAACCACCATGTAAACAATTCTTCGTTCATCCATCCACTACCTGAAACAGTGTATTCTGTACCAGATGGACCTCCACAACACCAACTGGAGCACAAATTTTGTCTGTAGGTAATGTAGTCTGAAATTCTTTATCAATGTGTGTTTAAGCTACCTTTTGTTCGGTCAGAGAAGCCAGTTTCATCACAGTTGAAAATCTGACTTGGTTTGTCGAATAACTGATTTTTTGACATAATATCGTGTAATAAATTAAACCAACCAACGCGAACTTTCTTCAGTAAAACCGGTTTTTCGATTTTTCTCTAATTTCTTTTCACACATGCACTTTAATTCATTTTTCCAACGATTAATTCGTTAATTAGCGAGAAAAACGCTAAATTTTGATAATTAGCATTTCTCGCCATGAAGCAGGCATCTGACAAATTTGGCTCCGCAACCAAAAATGTCAGAAATTAAATTTCACATATTTTATCTGCTAACACCAACTTCGTACGTTGTAAAATGCAATGACTGGTTTATCTCGTGTTTTCGGGTTTTCCATGTTTAACCCATAGGGACTTGTCGATCTGTAGCTTTTCTAAGTGGCTCGTATTGTGCGAGTTTTGAGAGCAATGTCGGAGTTGGCTTTTGATACTTCCTTGTGGAGAACTAGAGAAAAGTACTTTTGTACTTTCATAGGTAGAAATACGAAAAATTTCGTGTTTTTGTACGGTGTTCAAAATTCAATACTGTTTCACACGAAAATGACTTCCAAACGTATAGAAATTTGCTTTAACTATATAACTCGATTAGCTTTACCCAACCATACCCAGGAGAACGAAAAATCATTTTGTGGAAGTCGCCCTGCATGTTGGATTCCTTAGGATCAGAATCTTTCGGTCAAGGGTTAGTGAATCGAAGATGAGCATTACTTGTTTTACCATTAATTCGATATATTCTTCGTCTGTGTTTATGTGATGTGTACAAATCTGTTTATAGGCTATAATGATCATTTCCTATGCAAAATTTTGTTAACGAGTCGTTGCTATCTCTGTTTGCCTTAGCTAAATTCTCTGTAAATTAGCGGCACAGAATGACTGAGGGATTTGCGAATAGTTTTCCGATTTATTAACTCTTCTGTTGTCTATTAGAGTATAATTTCTTCTTCATATGTCACATCGGGATCTGTATCAAGAACAAAATCATATGAGTTATTTGGATATATATCATATGAGAACATTAATTCAGCCAAAAAAATTTCATTTTCACGTATAACTAACTACATTGCCTTTTGGTAGGAGTTCGACCTTACTTAATAATTTACATGAACGTTCCATATTGCCACAATGTGTTACGAATGAAAAGTGGGCTTACTTTAATAAATTATAACATTGAGCATCAACATAAGTGCGTGATATAGGTACAATAAAATGAGCTTTTGATGATATTTTAAATGGTTGATCAATTGTATATAATACTCTTTTTAAAGATTCTTTTATGATTATTGTTCGACTAAAAATAAATTTATTCATCCAGGTACTATACATGTTTAATAACAACACTTAGTGAAGGATGACTAGCATACGTTCTCCTTCACTGTATATCTTACTTTGACTGAATAATTCAAGAAAAAAAATAGAGAATACTGTCAGATAACATAATCAGATTTGACTACTACGTTCTCTATTTTTTTTTCTCAAATTATTTCCGAGGGATCCTGCGAATGATCTCTACCCAACAACTGAAAATTTTCGTGTTCCCTCTGCAGTAAATTTTCTTTCCGTTGTTCTGCACAAAATTTTCTTCTTCCGAACCCCCACCCATCCTCCTGAAAGTTGGATTTATCGCGACTATTCTGATCCTTGAAGTCATAAATAACTATTGATAAGGGTTAAAATGGAAGCCCTGGCGCGAGAAAAGCACCTCCTTGCGACTCGTCGTAATAACAGACTATAGTAATAGATCCGATGTATATTTAAAGATGTATAATCAAGTCTGTTCGCCGAGACACAGAGAACGAACTTGTGCCGTTGGCGGAAAGTGTTCGCAGACAAAGTAATACCTGGATTGACCGATATCATGAAAGCTCAAGTCAAACTGAAGACTGTCTCAGTTCGTTCTCTGTGTCTCGGTGAGGGGTGAGGGTGAGTTGTAAGTTATTGATGTTTTAATGTCCCTACAAAAGTAGTAGAATTTTGCATTTCCCAGCTATTTTGACTCACCGTGTGAAGCTCACACTTGATCTCGTTCCACTCCAGAACTCACGCGGATGATTTTAAATGAACGAGCATTGCAAATACTACACATGCCAAGAAAAGAATTTGGCCCATGCAAGGATGTTGAGATAAAGGACTCTGAAGATCCGAGTTTGCTAGAAACCTTTCAAAGTGAAACGTTATCCAAAACCTTCAACTTGAAATGACTGAACTAAAGGCTTTACAAAATGTGCATGTGTGAAATTCCTCTTTTCGGTTTCTAACCGGATATTCTCGGACACTTTTCTTATTTTTAATGCCAATTTTTAACGGTAGATCATAGAAACGTCGGCAAGATCTCATCTTGTTCAGAACTGAATGTTGCTTCATATTTTTGCTTACATTATCGGAAACTCATCCGCTGAAAGTCGACTGAGCACTATCGGACGTAGAGTATCTGCAATGGCTCTTATGTAAAATAATAGATGAGTTACTACAAGATTGTTATACTAGCAAATAGATTCTCGCAAATATCCCAGCCGGGCAACTATATCGCCTGTTCTCGAACTACTTCTTCCTCTAACTATGATTACTCATTTTCCTATTCAGAGTAACACATAAATACCAATATTAAATTCTAACAACGTTTCTCTAAAAAGAACACTCTATTTTTAATCGGGAGCTTTGTCTTACTGCTGAAGGCATTGGTCACATTTTTACCTTTAGACATCAAAAGTGACACACCACCCTTATGTCATAATTCAAACATGAGTATCATCTGTATTGAGCAATACCAATAGATAAGAAAAACTATTCATTAATATATAAAGAAACCATGTTTCATCATCGAAACACCTTAGATAATGTTGACAAAAACATTGTGTCGTCTAAATGCTCAGTTTATCAGCAAGTAGGGAAATAAGCACGAACGTCGATTCAATATCCTACAGAGACATGCAGCACGACTTATCAGACAGATTATTGAACACTTGTGGCAACCATAAATATTTGAAGCAAGCACTGGATGGTAAGTCGATCATGTGTTTCTCAACCACATTCATTGTGACTTGTGCGAACTGAAAGATTTCTCACCAGGTGATTGCAATATGCTGAGAATAGCAGATAGGGAGATGACACTCATCGTCATGAGCGTAGTAAAATGCTGTAATAGCTGATTAAACAGCCTTATTACATCAAGAGGAGAGAACCGTACAAAATACTCAAAAAAACCATACATCGATGTGACATTGTTAGTTCGAGAACGAATATCTACCTGAGCTCCGTATGGACTGGACTCAAATTTTTTGAATTCCATGGACTCGGACTGGACTGGACTCAAAGTTTCAAGACCATGGACTGGTCTGGACTCGGAAAAAATTTGGATGGACTTGAATCGAGGAAAACTCGGTAAAAGACAAGGTGTTTTTGTTTTGTTAAAGGCGATTCTATATAACGTATTGTTTCGCCTTTCTAGAATAGTACTGATGTATTTGCTCACGAACAGATTTTAACACTTTTTGTGTGTCCTAGCCTAAGAGGCACTGTAGTTCTGGTTTTGTTATTAAATATCATGTTGTATGGACATCATTTAACGTCAGTGAATGAGCGCGTGAAATTAGTGCTCGTGGAGGCGACCTAGGAACAAATGATGTGACAGTGGAAACGAAAGAATGCTAAAGCTGTTTGTAACAATTGACGATGAGGAAACAGAAATTGGTAGCAATAAAATGTTCCTTGGCAATGGTCGTGCTACTAATGGACCGCTCCTGCAGCATACAGAAGTTTGCAAAGTCTATTGGACTGTTTACTCAATATACTGGACTAGACTAGACTGCTTTTCTAGAGTCCATGGATTGGACTGGACTTAAAAAAAATGTTCTTCATGGACTCGGACTGTACTGGACTAGATTTGTTTAGTCCATGGACTGGGCTAGACTCAAAATTTTGAGTCCATACGGAGCTCTGATATCTACCTAGCAAGCGCACGGATTCCTCTTTCTTTGTACTTGAAAGTCTGCACATAATAGAGGCGAAGAAGCTGAACTCTGGTCAATGTACATTTATTTAGACGCGACACAATTTCAATCGCTTCCGAATGAATTGATTCTGGAACTCTTCGAGTATTTCGGCGCTTATGATATTCTATACTCATTTCTTGGGCTAAATGACCGTTTCGACCAGCTACTAGACAGTCTTCAGTTTGACTTGCGCTTTCATGATACCAGCCAATCCAGGTATAGCTTTATCTGCGAACACTTTCCGTCAACGGCACAAGTTCGTTCTCTGTGTCTCCGCGAACAGACTTGCAAATACATCTGCCTGTTCTTCGATCGTTTTCCACCGACCATATGGACCAACCTTCGCTCCTTATCGTTAGACACAATACACCCAGAACAACTGAATAAAGTCGTGCAGTCATACCTGCCCTGCATGGCACAACTATCATCATTGACACTGCATATGAAATGGAGCAGCTCTGATAACAACAAACATGGGAACATATTGGAAGGAGTCCCTATCATACTCGCAAACGAGTTGAAAGAAAATCACACTCTAATGAGACTTAGCCTTGCAAATAATCGTATCTCTCATATAGGAGGTAAAGCACTGGCTGGAGCATTAAAAGTGAACAAAACTCTTACTCAGCTTGATCTTCAAAGTAACCAAATATCTGATATAGGTGGCGAAGCACTGGCTGAAGCATTGAAAGTGAACAAATCTCTTACTCAGCTTGATCTTCAAAGTAACCAAATATCTGATATAGGTGGCGAAGCACTGGCTGAAGCATTGAAAGTGAACAAAACTCTTACACAACTCAATCTTCAAAATAATCAAACATCTGATATAGGAAGTGAAGCACTGGCTGAAGCATTGAAAGTGAACAAGACTCTTACACAACTCAATCTTTATTACAACCAAATATATCCTCGAGGAGCTGAAGCACTGGCTGAATCATTGAAAGTGAACAACACTCTTACTCAACTTAATCTTGGAAATAACCAAATATCTGATATAGGAGGCGAAGCACTGGCTGAAGCATTGAAAGTGAACAAGACTCTTACACAACT